GAAGAAGAAGAAGAAGAAGAAGAAGAAGAAGAAGAGGAGGAGGAGGAGGAAGAGGAGGGGTGAATTGATGGGGAAATGTTCATTTTAAAAGGGGAAGCAAAGGATGAATGGCTGCAGAAATAGTGCAGACTATCAGTGAACTCCTTGTTTCCCCTGTTCTGATCCTTTCACTATCTTCTTTCAACGTCAGCGGTTATTAATTTCATTATGCCATCTGCATGCATGGCACTTTACTTATGTAAAGTGGCACACACCCTGATGGCATCATGTGCACAAATATACTTTGCATATGTGGCTTTCTTCCAGTTGCGGATGGATCTAGGCCTCCCACGCCTCACATCCCAGGGCTCGCCTTTTCCTGCAGCTCCTTATTTTAGTATCCTAATTCTTCTTTTGCTAGATCATAATGGGTGTCATGACAATAACTGGATCCTTGCACACATCCCTGGAGATGCCTAATGTTTGGATTCTGTGATTGTCTTACCTAATGATGGGAGCCATCATCCTCAACTTCTCAAACAGCTCAAATTGCAGTGACACCCAAGGATACGCAAATGAACTTCCTAAAGGTGGGAAGAACGATACAAGTGAGATCACTCGGGATAATTGTAGGGAAATTCAGCAATCTCTCCGGGATGTCTTAATTGTTCTTTGCTCAACCGAGTTTCTCTTGGCTGAATGTAATTTTAAGCAGCCTAAGAAACTGGGTCTTTTTCAGAGTTCAAGAAGTATTTTTTGGGGGGAGGGAGGACACACAGTTAGGAATAGGGAAAGCCAGGGATAAAATCCTCCCGGTTCGGCCCAGTTCAGCCGAACCAGTAGGGACGATTGTCCTTGGTTCTGCAAATCGGTATTAAAAAAAAAGCTTCTGAGGATCTCATGGCTCAGCTGTGAGCTGTGCAATCATTGGAAGCTCCCCCCCCACTTTTTAAAGCACTTTTTCCCTGCCAGTTTGAGCAAATAGGCAGGGAATAAATGCTTTAAAAAGCGGGGCGAGGGGGTTGCTATGAAAGAAAGAGAGGGAGGGAGGGAGGGAGGGAAAAAGGAGAGGGAGGAAGGACCACAAACCTGGCACTAGATGCAGCTTCCAAGGATACCGAGCACAGCAATCCAGGGCTGGAAGGGACCTAGAGGTCATCTAGTCCAACCCCCTTCTCTAGCAGGACATTCCTAAAGTGAATTTCTGTCTTTTGATCCTCCAGTCACATGACTACATAGCCATGGCCACCCAATCAGATGAACCCCCCCCCATCAAGCCACGTCCACAGAACCAATAGGAAAAAAAATTAGATTTCACCACTGGGGAAAGCTGCTTACAGCACAGAGCCCACAATCTTGGCTCAAATCTTCAACAGCAGCTTGGACTTTTTTTTTTTTCAACTTGAAGGCTGTTTTAGTTAAAGTGACTCTGATGGCAATAATGACAACAATAAAAGAATCACAATATATAATTACTCTTTTTATTAATTAATATAGCATTACTGGCATCGAGAGCTCTTCAGCACTCAAGTCCCAAAGACCTCCAACAGACAGTTTTGAAAGAGCTTTAAGTAAGACCACAAAGGTTGAAACTTTGCATAGCCATCAAGATATTTCAAGGGGGAATGGTTGGCACAGAGAATGCCTACCTTTGGAATCTCTCCCATTACGCTTCTCAATAGGTGAGGATCTTCAGTGGGCTTTCCCTGTGTCCATCATGCAAGGTAGGGCAGAAAAGAAGCAAGCCCAGATGGATTAATTCTAATTTATTGTAAGGTTACGTCAACAAAATTTTGCAAGTGTCAGGGTTCCAACCGATGCCCTAAGGAATCAAGCAAAGTTTAAAAAATCCATTTGTTTAATTAGGAGCGCCGTGTCGGCATGGACCAAGGGAAGCCAGCTCTGACTTCACTCAGTTTGCGCCTTGCCTCTGACCCTGTTTCCCCCTCGCCCCCCCCCCAAGGCGTATCTTCAGCCACATTCCCCAACGAAGCAATTTTGTGGGTCGTAGAAGTCACTCCCTCCAGCCGTTGCAGGTTTCTGTGGAGATGGCCTTGACTATGGCTGGCTAGGATGTGTTTTGTTTTGACTGAGGTGCAAATTCCCTGATGCAGCTGCGAGGCTCGATTCCCCCATCTATGGCAACTTAGGAGCAGGTCAGGAAAGATTCGCAAGTTGACAGCAAGTTTGTGTCAGAGTTTGCAGTAGAAATCACATCCCGAAAGCACACACAGATAACTGTAGCAATAGCAATAGCAGTTAGACTTATATACCGCTTCATAGGGCTTTCAGCCCTCTCTAAGCGGTTTACAGAGTCAGCATATCACCCCCAACAACAATCTGGGTCCTCATTTTACCCACCTCAGAAGGATGGAAGGCTGAGTCAACCTTAACTGATTCAGCAGGATTCATTAATGTCTTTATATACATAATAACACATGAATAAATGTGCAATACCAATGGCAGAGATGAGTTTCATTTCAGAGTTCAGAGCAGACTAGTTTCATTTTCAATTCTCAGCTAAGCCATGCCTAGACTCCAAGCTTAAGTTTCCATTTCCAAAACAGCCCTCATTGGCTGACCCAGTTGCTATGCCTATTCATTGGCTGATCTATTCCAGTCTATGAATATTCATACTCTGACAGCAATGATGTTATAAGAGGGTTCAGTAACTCTATGGGCTACAAGTGAAATTTCCAAGAGGTCTTCAGAGCATTTCTACATAAAGCAAATCACAGTGATCCATATATGGGTGAGTGTTTTTTCTTTAAGTGCCTTCTGTTCTAGGTAAATCTGTAATTGATACTCCAACTTAAGCAAGTGAAATGCCCACCTGACTGTCAATTCTGTTGGCTGTTCTAGCAGGAGCCAGGAAATCGGGGCAACCTCAGTCTTGCTCTCCACAAGGGCGTGCAACCTCATTGAGTCAAAGATAGTAGAATCTAGAATCTGGGGGCCATTCTGACTTGCTTGTTCCTGCTGATCCAGAACCTTGACAGACTCTAAACAGTTGGTCAGGGCTTCTATTGCCTGTCACCTAGGATGGAGATGGGCAACTGATTATCTCTGCATTCTGCACACCCTCAGCTGATGGCTGTCTTCTCCCAGAAGCTTCGTATAGATGTTTAAGAGGGGAAGGGATTCAGAGAAAGTCAAGCAGGGCAAGATCAAGTTGGCATTTGGATCAGAGGCCATCAGGGAATTTCAATGCTGCCTAATTGTACTAGAAAGTTAACAACAACCCTGCAGTGGCTGCCATACTAACCCCTTTGTTGCTATTGACTCTAAGTTAGAATGGAAATTAGAGAAGAGAACTTTGTAATACTGTGTAGTTTCTTCTTCCTGTTGTGAAAAGGAAATGGGCTGACAAAATCCTCTGTGCAAGATTGCAAACACTATGATCTCTTCTATCTTAACAGCTTTCCTTTTACTTTTTTTGGGTGGTGGTGGAAACAATTAGGGCTGTAAGAAAAATGTACAGAGTTTAAACTTGATATTTAAGAACCCCCAGCTGATCATTGTGCTGATCAACTTTTGCTTTGGAAATCTGATCTGAAGCATACTCTTCAAAATCAAAAGCCATTTAAGGAATGTATTATTTAATATTAATGCCATGTTGTTAAACATTCACCAATCTAGGGTTCCATGCTTTGTCCCCTCCCCTGCAGAAGAGCAATTCTACTCTTGAATTAAGCAAGCTAAAGGGCTTTAGGATTTGATGTAAACTTGAACTATCACACAGATGAAACTATCTTCCGTTCTGATGACACTACTGTAATGGCTTATCTAGATAAGCCAGAAAAGTAGTTTCCTTATCCATTCCATCTTCAAACTAGATCAGTGGTGGGATTTAAATTTTTTTTTACAACCAGTTCTGTGGGTGTGGCTTGGTGGGCATGGTATGGCTTGGTGGGCGTGGCAGGGGAAAGATATTGTAAAATCCCCATTCCCTCCCCTCACTCCAGGGGAAGGTTATTGCAAAATCCCCATTTCCTTCTGATCATCTGGGACTCGGGAGGCATAGAATAGATGGGGGCGGGGCCAGTCAGTGGTGGTATTTACTGGTTCTCTGAACTACTCAAAATTTACCCTACTGGTTCTCCAGAACAAGTCAGAACCTGCTGAATACCACCTCTGAACTAGGTGGTTTGAAGATGAAACACCTAATAAGAGGCCTTGAGTTACCTACAATCTCTCAAAGATTTCACTGGGAGAGGGGAAATGAAATAGCTGTCAACAATGGCCACTCCATCATAGCAAGTCCCAAGGGAAATTAGCTTACAGAAAGACAGCGTCTTTTCAGATCATGGGAAAATGGGTACATTTATCAAATATCTTCTTTCCAAGTATCCACATCTCTTATATTTAAATGAGGTTTCCTCCACCTGTTGTCAGCCCTCAGGCCGCCATCCAGGGGGAACCTGTCCATCACCATGGCCGCTTGGCCATGCTTACACGCCACTAACACTGCCATGTTGATGTTGCCTCTCTGATGTCGATTGAGCCTGTAGCTGCATGTGGCTCTTCTACTTGGGTGCAACTGCCTATAAAAGTTTTTTACCAAACAAACTGAATCTCTGTTTGTATGCAACGTGAACGCCGGAACGTGATACCTGTGAATTGGGGGTGATAGCATGGAGGTGGCCTTATCTTCAATAAGAATGTGGTGCTAGAGGAGGTTGTATTGAAATAGTAGAGGAAAAATATGCTGAAAACGTTGCTTAGATAATTGTACAGATCTGCCCAGTCACTGGGGGTCAAAACTGACCTGAAGTTTTAAAAAAAGGAAAAGAAGAAAAGGTTTATATAGCTCATGTTTGCTGAATCTGGATTGTTGCCATCCCCTCTTAGACATTGTGCCAATTACCACAGCCACTGACAATTAAAGCTAACGTAGGATAACAGCAAAGACAATAATGCTGAGGAGAAAAGAACATGGCAGAGGAGCATAAAAACATTTGCAAGAAAGCTCAACAAATGACAGCCCATAGAGTTTTTCAAATTCAGGGTCCCAGAAACAGATGGACCAAAGTGTGGATGCCTTGCAAGTGAGATGTCATTTCAGTTCAGTTCTCCTCACATGCAAAATGCAACTATCTACGCAGAGGTGAGGAACGATGGCCTCTTTATGACCTTTGGACTTCAACTCCCAGAATTCCTAAGCTCAGGAATTCTGGGAGTTGAAGTCCACAAGCAATGATGAATTCAAAAATTCATTTTTTTTTACTGCCGGTTCTGTGGGCATGGCTTGGTGGGCGTGGCATGGCTTGGTGGGTGTGGTAGGGGAAGGATACTGTAAAATCCCCATTCCCTACCAATCAGCTGCGGCTCTGGAGGCAGAGAATAGATTGGGGCGAGGCAGAGAATAGATGGAGGTGGTATTTACTGATTCTCCAAACTACTCAAAATTTCTGCTACAGGCCCTCCAGAAGTGGTCAGAACCTGCTGAATACCACCTCTGTCCACAAGTAATAAAAGGGCCATTGTTCCTTACCCCTGACCTAGAGTATGGCACTCTATCTATCTATCTATCTATCTATCTATCTATCTATCTATCTATCTATCTATCTATCTATCTATCTATCTATCTATCTATCTATCTTCTATCCATCGT